TGCCAAGCTCAAACTATCATACTTTGGACACCTAGCTCCTTAGAGAAGATTATAATACAGACAAAGGTGCAAAGAAAGAGAAAAAACAGGATAACCAGCAGAAAAATAGATGTATTTGATTATAGCAGTGATGAATGCACAGTTGGGAAAAATGTCTATGTGATCGCTAAGATTCAACACTGATTTGATGGTGCATAAACAGTCAATCAACAAAATTAAATAAAAAAGTAAACAAGAAGTTGCTTATAGTTTAGAATAATAGAAGTCTGAAGCCTGGAAATTAAACAGTGCTAACAGAGTTCTGGACATGGAGATTCTTGGTTCAGGACATTTACCTAAAGATGCCTAAATGATAGTCCTGCAACATTATCTTGATGGAAATACGCACTTAGTCTGGACTAATCCCTGCAACCTTTTAGAGGAGTAACTGGAGATCTCTGCCAGTCCAAAGATGGTGGAGAGCAGCCAATGATGCAGTTCCCTAGTAGCAGACCATGCTCTTTGGATTTGGTGACTTGCAGTAAGGAATGCCTCTAACCTTCTGGCTTTCAAGAAAGTCTTATCCTACAGAGAATAGATTGTACCAGGGTTGTCTGGGGACAGTCAGTCATACGGAGCATTGATTATTACTGAGCCCTTGTCAATACATAATTTTGTACATACATACATATATACATACATGCCTATATACATACATGTCTAGCTCTTAAAAAGTGCTGCTGGTGGTAATTTTTAAAAAAAAATAAAATGTGAGTTGCTAGACATGTTACAAAATGAAGTTACATGTTACTTCATTTACTAGAAGAATACTATGGGATAGAATTTATGGTTTGGATTATCAGATAGAATGCAATAATGAAAAAAGAATTGTGATGTAACTTTAGGGAGAGAGGTTAATTTATATCGTAATTATAATAAACACTGTAAAGAAAGATTGAAAACCATTTCTTTTTTCTTTATTTTTCTGCTATTCCATTCCTGAATGCAGTTTTAGTTTTCTCTTTAGTTTTTTTTTTGTTATTTTTTGCCCTACTTTAGTTTATGTTAGTCTCATTCTTCTGTTTAAAATTCTGTATAAGTAGTACTGTAGGATCTGATTAGCTTTTCTTCATTCTTTTTTCTAGAATGTACATTGTGTGTGTGTGTGTGTGTGTGTGTGTGTGTGTCCATGATTTGTGGACTGTTATACTCTATAGAATTATAAGAGGGTGTGTAGTACCTGTGCAATAATGAGGAAAGAGTAAATAATTTGGAATTTTTGGCAAGAAGGTGTGGGTGGCAAAGTTTGGTAGTTGGCTGGCTGTATGTTCTATAAAATAAATTCTCCTTGAATATGAAATTTGACTTCTCAGAATCTTGAATGTCAGTTTCTCCAGCCTATGAGGTTTAATTTCTAGACTCTATTATGTTTATGTTCATTAAGGACAACACTGAGTATTGCAGGTAGCACAGATGCAGACAAATAGTCTTACAATCTAATGTCTAGCTTTCAAGGGAGGAGTTGTTCTTTGACAGTTTATAGCAGCATTTGAAGATTACAGGTTTTGCTGGATTTGACATCAAAGCATGAAAAATTAAGCGGTAGTCATTTCCCTATAGATTAAAAGGTAGGTGCTTCTTCCTCTTTGCACAGGCTAGTTCAATTTCTCCTTAACCACAAAGCTGCATTCAGCAAGATGGTTGGCCAAATAAAGCATTTCTGGATATATAGTTTATTACCTATATGGTTTTGAACATTTATTTGTCTCAACTACATTTTTTAAGATGTCAGTATCAATAACATGACCAGGTTATCATTTGACTCTTAAAGCATTCTGCTTCCAACTGTTTGTACTTAACACTGCTTTGGTATAAAACCTCTAAAATTTTCCCAGATAGTGTGGCCATGGAAGGATAATGGGGATTGCTGTCACAAAACAAAAATCTGAACTACAATTTTCATTGTACAAAATCTCTGTTAAAATACAGTTTAGTTTCTGAGGAAATAAACAATTGAAATTTTGTGACCTTCTTTAGAAAAGATAGATATTAAAAAAAAAAACCTTTCCCCATAGATAGAATTACTTTTATTTAATTGTTATCACCTTTTGTATTGAAAAGTGGAATAGAATAATAATAAGAGTTATTATGGAAGGGACATTTGAGGTCTTCCAGTCAACTCCCTGCTGAAGCTGGACACCCTATATTATTTCAGATAAATGGTTGTCCAATCTCTTCTTAAAAAGCTCTACTGATTGAGCAACCACAACTTCTGAAGGCAAGCTGTTCTACTGATTAATTGTTTTCACAGTTGAGAAATTTCTCCTTATTTCTAGGTTGGATCTCTCCTTCATAAGTTTCCATTTGTTGCTTCTTATTTTGACTTTGGGGAACAGGTTGAACCACTCTTCTTTGTGGCAGCCCGTTAGAAATTGGAAGACTACTATGATGTCACCCTTAGTCCTTCTCTTCGTTAGATTAGACTTTCCAGTTCCTGCAACAATTCTTTATAAGTTTTAACCTCTACTCTCCTAAACACTTTGTTGGTCTTCTCTGCACTCTGCACTTGCCAGCCAGTGGATCTGACAGCTGAGACTGAGGAATCAGATGAGGAGGAAGGGCCTGGAGTGACATCAGAGTCAGAGGAAGGCTCTGAGGAGCTCCAAGTCAGACAAGGAACCTGCTCCTCTACTCGCGTTCAGGCTGAGACACAGCTGTGCTTGGGAGCCTGAGTTGGACAGTGACGAAGAACAGTTGGGACAAATCCAGGATGCACGAAAGTGCAGGCAAGAGAAGCGAATAGGACAGAGGAATGCAATGGGGACAGAGGAATGCAAAGGCAAAGGAGAATGCATTAGGAAGCCACGCCTTGGCTGAATTATAAAAGGGAAGGTGTGGAAGATCCTGGTTGTTGAAGGCAACCGCTTGTGTTGAGGATCAAGTTTCTGTGGACTGTGTTTGTTTGCCTTGGACATTGACTCAGGTCTGTGAGAATAAAAGAGGTTGTTTTTTTCTAGCGGTTACTGCCTTTTTCTTGGAAGAGAGGTTTCTCTTGTGAGCATAACAAGGTGATGAAGACTTTTCTGTTGAAGGAAAAGTCTTCATCAAAGGACTCATATAGGCTGGGACAGAACACACTCTTTCTAGAGGCTCAATATACTTTTTGTATCGTGGTGGCCAAAACTGGATCCAATATTCCAAATGTGTTATTACCAGGGCATTATAAAGCAGTACTAACACTTCACGTGGTCTTGATTCTATCCCTCTGCTAATGCAGCCCAAGATTGTGTTGGCTTTTCTGGTGGTTGCAGCACACTGCTGGCTCATATTTAAGTGGTGTTCATTAGAACTCCTAAATCCCTCTCACAGTTACTACTATTGAGCCACCTCTCTTATATCTGTGGATTTGACTTTTCTTGCCTAAATGTAAAGCCTTCCTTTTCTCACCAGTGAATTTCATTTTGTTGGATAGGGCCCAGTGTTCAAATCTGTTAAGTTCCTTCTGGATCTGCAGCTTATCTTCTAAAGCAGAGGTCCCCAACCCCCAGTCCGTGGATTGGTACCGGGCCGCGGCAAGCCAGCAACTAGTCCGCACAAACAAGCAAAGCCCCATCCGTGGGATGCAGGCAGCACACAAAACCACGCACTCTCCAGTCCACGGAAAAACCTTTTTCCACAGAATCAGTCCCTGGTGCCCCAAAGGTTGGGGACCTCTGTTTTAAAGTGTTGGCTATTCCCACCAGCTTGGTGTCGTCTGTAAATTTGATGAGTCCTCCTTTTATCCCATCATCTAAGTCATTTATGAAAATGTTGAAGAGCACTTTCTAAGATGGTTCCAAGATCACATCTGCCAGCTCCTTTAGAATTCTGGGATGTAATTCATTTGGCCCTGGCTATTTGAACTCCTCTACTTAAAAGCTTCTCTGAACTTTTAGACAAAGGAGATTTGTGGTCTCTGGATATCTGAATTAGGTTGAATTGCGTTTTTTGTAAATATGATGCTTTGCATAAACTACAATTAGTTGCCTTTTACTAAATAGTACCATGATTTACAGATCCTGCTATGTCAAAAATACAGTGGCTTCGTATGATGTATGTAGCTAGTCACAGTTTGGTAGGTGTGTGGGTATAGGCTTGCCTACATGGACAATTATTCCTCAAAGTTGTCTTGTTCCTGACTTTTAATGGAAGATAGGCAAATCTAACATCAGACCTTGCCTTTAGTCATTATACGTACCTTCTGTGTGGATACTCTCACTACTGCAGACTGGACACTATGCTCTTGAGGATATAGTAAGAAAGAAAAGATGTATGGGTAAGATTATAATGCAGAGACAGTAGACTTTTAGGAAATTATTGCAAACAGATAATTTGTCATTATAATAAGCAGAAATTTGAGTTAAGGCATCAGGCTAAAAACTGGGAGACTGTAAGATCTAGTTTTGCCTTAGACACAAATCCAGCTGGGTGACTTTGGGCCAGTCACTTTTTCTCAGCTCTAGAAACTAGGTAATGGCAAAATACTTTTCTGAAAAACCTTGCCAAAAAACTTCCTGCAGGGACTTGTCTAGATAGTCTCTGCGAATTGGACATGACTGAATGGAAGGGAAAAGGGAGAAATTTATGCTACTTTCCAATATATGGTGTTCTATTTTCAAATTCAAGTAGAAATAATACATGTCAAAGGGATAATTGTATATGTCTTTTTCCTTACTTACAGCCATATGAAGTGGAATGTTTAGTCTTGTAAGCCATTCTAAACATTTTTAACAATACCAACCTTTAAACTGTAAGCTGCAAATAGTCATTCAGCAATAATTAAGCAATAATTCATTATCAACTCTATGGTCAAATATTATAAAAGATTGAACTCTGAGGGAGGTTCTCTCCTGCCTCTAGATAATTTCTGATCACCTACCATTGGATTGTAGGTTGCCCGCCTCTCTTTTTACTTTGCTTAGCCTGGAAACTGTGATAAGGGACAGTGAGGCGCCAGCCTTTCCTTCTTGCTTGATAGGGGCAGGGAGAAGAACTTTGAATGGTGCAAATATTAGAGAAGCTGGTTGGGGAGGAGAAAAAGGAAACATGTAGGTACATATGCATTTTTTATTCTGTGAAGAAGGGGCTCTTGCATAGCAAAACAGTAAAATGTCTTAGGAGTAAAACTTTCATGTAGTATATAGCTCCGTGTGTGCCTTTGTGGCAGTGATCTTTGATATGAGAACAGAAGCGTGGAGATCCTGTCCTTAGTCCTATTTATTAGTGGATACCTCTTTCTAATGAGCACCTGTAGCACTTTGTGGCTAGACCCTGCAGGTGACAACAGTTGTGAGACTCCAAGCCTTTCTTTGTTTCAAGCCAAGTATCCAAGTTTTTATATTTCTGACCCGACAGCAGTAGGTGTCTGGTTCAAGCCAAGATAATGTCAAATGCATCATCATTTCATTATACATATGAAACAAAGAATTTGTTTCACCTGCATGACAATTTCATGATGCATGTGATCGTACTTGCCCTCTACTGTGGAAATCAATGCAGAGGGAAGGCATTTTCAAAATATGGCCCTGGCTCACAAGGAGAAGATGATTCAATAGTTTATAGAAATACTTGTAACCCTCATGTACACCATATACATTATGACATATTTACCTGTAGCTAAATCAATGTTTGAAAGTCTGGTTCCAAGGATATTAATAAGACTGATATGTGATATAACTTAGTACAGTGAGCTGGTACAGATGCCTAGGCATTAATGTATGAAAGTAGGAATGTCAGTATACCATTATGCTTCTAGTAGTGTCTGCAGAATTGACGTCGATTTCCACAATTCAGTTTCTTTGTTGCTTCATCTATTTCCTTCCTGCTGGAAGGGAGGAGACTCAAGGGAGGAGACATAATTAATTCACTCTGTTACACATGATAGCTAGATGTGGTCAAGGATCAGTTTCTGCTTCCTCCTACTGATGATTCTTCTGAGCCACACGGTCTTCATTTGGAAGAGCTTTCTCTCTTGAGAAGTCCATCTGCCTTCGCTATTCTTTCCAAGAGCATTTTATGGAGAACAAAACTGATCCCGATGCCGAGAAGACTAGGTAGGTCAGAGATCGGTATGCTCTGCTCTTCCTTTTGATTGTTGCCCAGCCTAAAATAAACTAGCCAAAGATACATGTTTTGGAGAAGTATCTCATTCTGAAAATAATGAAGTGAAAGTAAGAAAGTCCAAAAGCTGTGAGGGATCAGGGATTCCATGAGGTTGAAAATAACTTAAATGTGAGTTAAGGTGACTGAAGACTTGGTGGGTAGAGCGGATAATATTATGGAGGCATATCTGATGAGAGTGAAGATGATGGAACTCCTCTGGGAGGCAGCTGAAGAGTAAGAGTCTGGAACAGACTGGATTGCAGCCCTATTATTTCCAGCTTTTCTCAAACTTCTCTCAAAAAGGAAGCTATTCAAGTCAACTGGGAAAAATAACCCAGGAAGTTTCAAGAATTTGTTCACTATTTTGTGACATTTTAACTGCTCTGAATAAAGCTCTTGTGAGCCTGTATGGTGCAATGGTTTAAAGCACCAGGCTAGAAACTGGGAGAGTATGAGTTCTAATCCTGCTATAAGCACAACGATAGCTGGGTGACCAGGCAAGAACAAGCGAATCCTGAAAATCTTGTTAAGTAAAGTGTAGGGACTTGCCCACGTAGTCTCCAAGAGCCAACAATAATTTAAAGGCATGCACGTACATATGTTCACACATTACTTGTATCTTTTGGATGACAGAGGAGGATAGGAGTCAACAAGATGTTTGCAACAGATCACAGTCTATAATGGACAATGCAGTTGCAAGGGAAAAAACTCCATACTTTTGAGTCCCTTTTTGATCTGTATTTTTATAGAAGATTGCCTTTCTGCTTTTAAACTTATTTTGCTTTCTTAGTGCTTTCTTTTTTTTAAGTCGACCTTCAGCAAATTATAAAAAGTCCAGTTTGCTAGAGAAGGGCTACTCTACTCTATAAGAAGACCAGTTTGCTAGAATAGAGGTGACTGGATTTTGTGTCCTTTTGTCTCTGCAATACCACCTGGTGTGCTCACACATTTTCATAGCAAAGGAAGTTTGATTGAATTTGTGGAATGGAGCAGATCCAGAGGGATGAAACTAGACTTCAGTCCCCTTCCAAGTGATTGAGGGTGATGGGATGTTTGTTTACTAGCAACAAAAGCTCAGAATGAGTAGTTAACATTTTGATAGGGCTGCAAATTGAGCAGAACTCAGAAATTGCAGAACATTATTTTTAACATTTACCACCACCCACAGTTTAGAGGGAACAGGTTTTTATTAAAAAGAATGTGTGATTAATGATTCACAAGCAGCTATTAGTTATGCAATAAAGCGTATTTGTATATTTTGGGGGGATACACACAAAGAATTACATGCACATGGCCATGTATGAAGCGGTCCATATACAACCTATTACAATAACTGAAGATAAAATAGCTTCCATCCTATTGCACACAGGGTTGGAGAAATGTGTAGTGATGAGCTTGCCATAAAAGATAGGAAAATACTAGAAGCATAGAAAGTGAGGGGGTACCTGGAGGCACTGACCTAGGACAAGCAGGAGGGTAGGTGATTGACAGAACGTTGGTTGCCTTAACTTGAGCAGATGGCAGGATATGGCTCTGAATCTTGCAAGATGCTGGAGACAATGCTTTCCTGTTTAGCAATGATCATCTGTATCATATAAGTGGTGATACTACACTGGCATGGCTTCTTACTTTCATCCTTCTTCCTTTTTTGGGTTATCTACAGTATAAATGTAAGTTATATGTTCCTCAGAGCAATACTGAGGTGGAAAGAGCAAGTGATAGATAGACAAGGTTACAATTACCTCTTTCCTTGCTTGAACTAATAAGGAAAGACGTTAAAAACTTAGAGGAATAAACTCTTCCATTCCCAAGTAAACCTCTGCAACCTTCATCTCCGGCAGCATTTAAGCTTAGGTGAAGGCTTTCATTGGCAGCAAGGGTGCTCTTTTGCTGAGTTTAAAGGCTTTGCAGTGGCAAACTGGTTTGATCAATCTTGTGAAGTTTCATTTGAAATGGCGAGAAGTTTCCTGCATACCCCAGCCCTGTCCTGTGAGTGATTGCTAGCCAGTCAGATGTTGTTTAGGGAGTGCCTGTCACTGCCTGGACTTCACTTAAAACAAAGACATGAAAAATATAGCCAACATTCTTGGGAGGCTGTCAAGAGATGCCTAGCAACTCCACCAATGTTGCTGTCATAAAAAAATTATACATTCCAGTGCAGAGGCAACTGAGTCATCTCAGTGTTGGATGAAAGCTTTCAATGGTTACCATAGTTAACTCGGAATTGTATGAATTGAGTACCTTTGTTTCGGTGCCAGGGTTTTATATTTGACTAGTTCATCCATTGCACTAAACCATAATGTTATTTGCTACCTTTTGTTCAGGATGAGGTATATATTCAATGCTGTGGCCTGTCTGCTATTATTTCTGGCTCAGCGTTAAGTAACCCCAGGCATTTGGTGGCTTATTCAAGAAACCCTGGTGAATGAATGAAATTCTGGTTATTTAATGAAATAATAGTTTAGAATGAAGTGGGGGACCAATCATTCCATTAATTATTCTTCCCCCCCCCCCTTTATCTGCCAGATTAGAAAAGAAGGAAAGTGCTCGTGATGCCATGGAGTCTCGGAAATCAGAAACAGCCAAACGTCTGGCTACATTAATCTCAGGCCTGGTGGAGTGCATGTGCTTTGCAGGTGTCATTTTTGGGTGGACATCGCTGGTCTTTGTCTTCAAACATTTGAAGTACTTTGAGAACTATTGTGAGTCAGCCGCCAATGCAACCATCAATCAAACAACTCAAGGTATGATCTGAGAAGACCCGAGGGGGAAGGTATTTTATCCTTTGTGCATTTATAAAGGTTAAATGAGCAACTAGTTTCATACAGCCTTATGGTGAGAACATGCTACTTGTAACTCTCTCCAACCAAGTTCATCACCCTGAAATAGGTCCTGTCAATTGCTTGAACCTTTAAAAAACATTCCACCAGGGCAAAAACTGAAGATAGTTATCAACCCAATGGCCCATCACAATATGTCGCCTGTGGGCTTAAATTCTGCTTGATGCTTACTAAAGTCTTCTCCTTAAATTTAATAACAGCAGTTGGCTTAGTGGTGCCACCGTGAAGGGTAAAAGGGTTTTGAATAGGAAACCTTTCAAGTCTCCTTGCATCTCTTACTCCAGAAGAGAACTGTTGGCTATTAAAAGTACAGAGTTGATGGGTTGGACAAGGAAACCTGGAGAACCAAAAGCCAAATGTATCAGTATGGAAGATAAGACATAATAAACATCTGCTTGTGGTTTTATGTGGCATTAGGGATTACTCTTAAATTTTCTCACTAATTTACAGGCTGTGCAGCTCAGGATGAACAGTTCTCTCTCATCTTCACCATTGGCTCCTTCATGAATAACTTCATGACCTTCCCTACTGGCTACATCTTTGACCACTTTGGCACCACAGCAGCCCGTCTGCTTGCCATGTAAGTGCTGGATACACAACTCACTCCCTGTCTTTTTTCTCAAGGATACCTGATGCCAAAGAACCAAAGTGGAATTTCGGGCACACCTTTGTTCTTTAGTAATTGCATTATAAGAACTTGGCAGATTCTTTGATCAGATAAGAACCTGCTGAATTCCTTCCTGTCTTGCAAACTTAATCCCCAGGACTGAAAGCTTTCCTTTTGAGAGGGAGAGCTTAGGCCAAAAAAAAAAAAAAAAAGAGGCAACCTAAGCTCTGAGACTGTCAACAACAGCCATATGCTTGCATGTGTGTGGTTCTTGGAGCAGCACCAGTTTCCTTCTCTCAGTTTGCTGATTGTGATGATGATGATAATAATAATAATAATAATAATAATAATAATAATAATAATAATAATAATATTAATGGCTTCCACCATTTTCAGGTGGGAAATGCATGGAAATTACAGGGTCAATTATACAGTACGCTTAAAAAAATTTTCTTGATTCCTAAATCTGGAAAACTAGCCTTCTCCAAACATGTAATATGGCCTCTTGTATTATCACTCCATGATTATGGTCTTCTCCCCTACCCCATATAAAATTTTGAGAGCATTCCTTTGCTTCCAAAATATTGCCCATCAAATGTGCCTCAAAAAATCTTCAGTCTTTGCTGCCTGATTCAGCAATGAAATGGGCTGGGAAGTGTTGAATGCTGGCACATTTCCCCATGAGAAGTGGGGCTCCTCTGCAGGGACACTTGAGCTGGATCTGTAGTTGTAGCAAATGACCTTGGGGCATGCTGAGGTATCCATATGGATTGCACTCTTCAGTCTGTGCATGGAGGGCATCATTATTTTGGATGGCTTCTTTGCTCAAAGACCACTCTGCAAAGAGTGAAGTGGAACATTATGGAAGGAAGCTCTAGTCCACTTCTTTTCATATTATAATGGGAAGCCTTTGATAATGCAAGACACATTAAAATTGTCCCACCGTCTGAAACAGTTAATCTATGCTTGCTGTATGCATGGAGCAGGCTTCGGTGATGGAAGAGATAAAGTTCCTTCCGTTCAGCATATGGTAACAGAAGGGAACTATGATGATCAGAAATTCTCTGCTGTACATATATAAAAATGTGCGCTCTCTCTCTCTCTTTTTTCTCTCTCTCTCCCTCCCTCTCTTCCTCCCTTCCTCGCTTTTCCAGTCTATCAGAACTGCCAGACAGCTGAAATGATAACTGACTATTATCTCTGACAACCCAGGCGGCCTCTATAAGCCCAGAGAACTGGGTTGTTGTTTTTTTTATATAATACTCATCTCCACAACATTCATCAATAGTTTGCTACCATTTTTTGGGTGGGGAGCTGCACCCTAAGAAAGTAGAATAGGAACTGCACTATTCCTCTCCCCTTATAATGATGTGTCTAAAGCATAAGTTCTTTATTCATCATAGTCATTTACTAAATGGAACTGGATATTCAGAGATAAATGCTTCTGATTTTGTTAGTATGTTTGGCATATTTTAATTGTTTCATAAAAACTTGTGTAGGAAAAAGTAAAGATAGAAATGTGAAAATTCATAGGAAATAACATAATTTAGAACCATTCCTTCCACATTTGTATAGAAATTATTAATAAAAAGATTGAATGGAGAACTCAGGACTGATCCTCATGGAACTCTGAGATATCTTTGTGATGCTTATATCCTACTTCAGTCTTAGCCCTTCACCCAACTTTTGGGGAGAGAAGACTGAACCAAAATATGAGTTTCCCTTCTGCCTTTTCTTTTTGCTAGCTGTTAGTGTTGCTTTGATGTTTACTGAGCAGCTGGAATATGGACTGATTACCTTTTCCTTTTGCCGTGAATATAGTTAAAGAAATATTTTATTATATTTAACTTCTTTTATTAACCTTATTTTTCTTTCTTTCATGATATCAGCTCTGCTGTTCCTGACTACCTGCTTGTGTGACCTGGTCCTCTTTCCATTTTCTATATTAATCTTTTTTATATTTAGATTTTCACTAAACTGTGTTGGGTAGCTACACTGATTTCTTCTGATATATATCATTTCCCCCCTTCATTGCAATTATTTATTTTTAGTTATCTCTTAGGAATTCCCATTGTTCCTGAACAACTTTTTTATATATATATAAATTTTTATTCATAATACAATTAAAACAACAATGGACAGACATGACATTCCAGAGTGAATTTGTTCCTGAACAACTTTTAAAATAGTTTATTCAAAGCAATCTTTTTTGAAATTCAAGATGGAGGTTTGATTCAACTTAGTTAAATTTCCTTCAAAAATCAAGAATTCCAAGAGTATAAAATTTCCCCAATGCGCCTACTAATTTTATTTCTTCAGCTAATTCCTCTCTATCTATTAGTATCAAACTAAATGGAAATTCAGTGCCACAAAAATAGGACTCTCCATTTTCTTAGCCAGTTTTAGCATGCATTAAATAAAGGCTGTTGATGGCAGGACTGACTGGGAGAGAAGGTCAATAGCTGGGAATCTGATCCAGTTGTCTGTTAACAAAGTGTGTTGATCAATTAGGAGTTGTAGTGAAGAGGACCGTTTCCCTTGTGTGATGATAAAAGAGTCGAGATTTTGAGCCATGTTAATTTGTATCTACAAAGCGTCTCCTCTCTTTCAATTGTGCCAGACCTCATCTCAGCTTATGCAGCTGAAAGGCCAAGGGTTCCTGCATGACTACAATCCAGGAAGCTGGTATTTGCTGTGGCTGCACTTTAAGTTCCTTAATTGACTGCAAGTATTAGTGGAGTGAGCACAGTTATGCATCTCATGTGAATGGACTGATTAACCGCATGCAAGAGGGCAATGCTGAAGAGGCTATTTCCACCCCCCCACACAAACACACTTTCTTCCCGGCTGTAGCAAGGCACGTAACCAATTTCCTGGAGCTGGGCAAGTCTTCTGGAAATATTCACCTGCTCATGCAAAGCATGGTGAGGAAGACTCTTTCAAGGCCCACACCATTCCAGGTGGCAGGCCTGGGTCTGCATTCCAGTGGTGGGTGAGACCTGAGCAAAACAATACAAACCCTTGCCTCACATTTAAAGTATCACTAAAAGCCTTTCAGAATAAAGATAAAAGATGCCAGTCCAGTCTTGCCAAGGCTGAGAAACAAAGCAAATAAGGAAACTGTGTGAATTTTGGAGCAAAACAATTATTTCCTGCAAAAAATAGCTATTTGCAGGCTATTCCCCCCCCCCCCACAAGTAGCTCTATCAGCCAAATGTTAGCCCCTTTGATTTTAATGGGAGCATCTAATATATGCTGCAGTGCATTTTCTATTAAAAATAAGCATGGTTGAGAAGTGACTTGGCTTGACTAGCTCGCTTTTATAGAATTCTAGGCCAGGCTTCTATTAACTATACCAGTGATGGCGAACCTTTTAGAGATTGAAAGCCCAAACTGCAACCCAAAACCCACTTATGCATTGTCGAGTGCAGGGTGGGTGTGGCCCATTGGGTGGGCATGGCCCATTGGCTGGGTGTGGCTGTGGTGGTAACAGCAAACTGGATGGGACTAAAAAGTTCAATCAATCAATTCCAACTTTGCAAGATCTTTTTTTTCCCGCGAGAAGTTGAAATTGACTGATTGAACTTTTTTGGGGGGGGGGAACATGGCGGAGGCCTAAAGTGAAAAGGTTTTATAAAACCCAGCTGAAGGCCTAGGATTGGGTCAATGGCGCGCGTGCCCACAGAGAGAGCTCTGAGTGCTGCCTCTGGCACCTGTGCCATAGGTTCGCCACCACTGAACTATACAAAGGCAGTTTGAAAACACAATTAATGCTGGTCATGAAGAAACCACCCCTGACAATGTAAAGAGTATGTTTTACTTTTCTTTCTGGGAGCTTGTGCCAATAGCTTGAAAGAGGTACTGTAGCAGTTAGGTGGGAGCAGTTTAGTTTCGCTATGAAAGAGGCAGCCTTTGTAGCTACCCAGCATTAGCAAAGCATCTGTGAGTCAAGTCAAACTGCTTCACTGCCAGTGAATGAAAGATGCAGAATGCAGCTGGGGGCGGGAGCAGCATATGAAATGGAAAAGGTTACAGTGGCTCCTTTTATGGTGCCAAAATTAGCAAAACTCATGTCAGAGACATGAGACCAATACTTTAAAAGCGAAACCCTCCAGTAATACCCTTTTAAAAATCCCTTTAATGCCCTTAGAAACTCTCCCAAGCAGAATGGAATGGCTCCAAACACCAAGTTTGGACTGGCCAGGCTGAGGAAAGTGCTCAGTCACTGGTAGGCAAACCTCCTTGCAGGTTTCCCATGGTGTAGAATTAAAGAAAGTGTTACTTCTAAATCAGAGGCAGGACTGGGAGAGAGGCCTGGAGGGGTGGAGGCAGAAGGCGCCTCCACCCCTCCAAATGCATGCAGCCTGAATACAACCACTTCAATATGGTAGACAGTTTGGGACATAGGGATTGTGCTAAAAGCTTTTTGGAAAAGGAAGATGGGTGAAGACATCTGTTTGTACCCTTCTTGATTCTATTGCTGATGTTCAAGTGGATTAAACAATCCATTTCAATCTGTAGAAAAGGAGGACAACCTTTCCTTTGGAATTACTTATGGGAGCAAAGAAGGGCCGTGGAAGAGTCAAACAAGGAGCTACATAGCAGACCCCACAGAAGAAAGAATGAAATTCAGGGCATCTGCCTTTCACTATAAGTTCGTAGGAGCCCAATGAGGTCTGTGGTCAGCAGAGTATTCCCAGGACTAAAGCAACCGGATGATGTTTGTAGCCACCTTTTGTAGGTAGAAAAATTAAATCATTAGTTTAGGAGGGGACATCATACTAGACTGTTGGAATGAGTTGGAATTAGGATGGCAAATTGTGTAGGCTTTCTGAAGAGCAAACACTGGAAATAGCTTTAGTGTGAAAAAGGTCTCAAAATGGTGAGGAAGAGAGAGAGGTTTCCTAATCCCAAGTTAATGCATCCGATGCTGCTAATTGCAATAATTAGACCCATTGGATTCTATAGATCCATTGAGTCCAGCTTCCCTGGATGAATGCAGAGGTGCTTGCTTCTGTGTGCTGCTGCTTTTTCTCAGTTATATACTGAAATATAAAGGGCCTTTGACTCATTTTCATAGTGATCCGGCAAGTCATGTCTTTCATTATTATTGCCAGCCTAAAAATAGGGGCTTCAGAAAAAGGTCAGAGAGCCCAGCAAGTGTCTTTTGCAAGTTCTCAATGAGGATACTGTCTTCAGAGGCACATTTTCAAGTCCACCATTTCATTCTTTCCCCCAATGTTTGTTGGGGAAGTAGGAGAGAGAAGGGGAGGTAAAAACCCCTCTTCACTTCCCCACCCATTACTGGATTGCTCAATTTTCCTTGAGTCTGCTCTTTGTACAAGAAATTATTGCTTTCACTCCCTTGATCTGTCTAATAATCAAATCACAGACTATTGCATATTTATTGTGGTTTCAGTAAATGTTGCAAGAATAAAGTAACAATTCCCCCTCCCCCTCCCATTGGGTAACTGCATGAAACATTCTCAGTGTGGCAACACAGTACAGTACTGAGGATATCTGAAATTAGCTAAGATGGTTAGGTTTGTTTCTGTTGCAAAAGCATTTGAGAATTGAAATTCATCTTGGTCTTTCTTAGTGGTTAGGTGTAACTCACCATTCTGAAGATGTGATATTACTGAGTGAAAATACTATATTTCAAATATGTATTTTTCTCAAAATTTAATTAGTACTAAGTTGCACTGTAGTAGGAATGACACTAAACTGTTGACATGAATGTGAACTAGCCAGTCAAAAGGTTCTCAACCATTTTTTTTGTTTGTTTAAAAGTTACAGGTAAAATGTATATGATTGACTGCAGTTTTTACTTTCCCCTGCAGTTTTTATATATCTAGCTAGAGCTGGGATGGCAGATTAATTATTTGGATGACAGCAGGGATTGGTGGAGAGGAATTAACTCTTTCCTTTCCTTCAATGACCCAAGAAATTCATTACTTTGTGAAGAAATCCATCTAGTGGTAACAATAAGTAAGCTCCACTCAAAGCAAATAGCAGTTTCAGAAACAGGTTTTTCTTCTTAATTAGGGGAGCAAAGGGTTAAACACTCTAGAGACTTGCTGTGAAACAATCTTGGTAGCTGATACTTTTGCTCTTTTATCATGTCTTCATACAAAGTGATATTTAACTTGCATGCTGAAGTTTGTGTGAAAGAATTCCTATGTGCTTCTTGTGTTGGCCGAAGATGACTCAGCAATCATTTGTTGAGAACATGAATGCATAATGCTGTCCTCAGCCTAGCCTCTGCCCATCATAAAGACAGTCTCTGTTTGTCTTTTCTTTGCTTGGTGGAAAAAGTGGTGTTTTCAAAATTCTCCAAGCACAAATACATTTCCTGGTATGTATTTCCAACACATCACCAGGACCAGATGGACTACACCCCAAGGTTCTGAGGGAACTGGCAGATGTGATCTCAGAACCACTGAACTATATTTTTCAAAGATCCTGGAGCACTGGGGAACTACCAGAGGACTGGAAAAGAACTGATATAGTTCCCATCTTCAAAAAAGGAAAACAAAATGGATCCAGGAAACTACAGACCTATCAGCCTCAACAATGCTAAGCTGCATTAACAGAGGGATAGAATCAAGATCACGTGAAGTGTTAATACTACTTTACAATACCTTGGTAAAGCCACACTTTGAATCAAATTTTGGTCACCACGATGTAAAAAAGATGTTGAGACCTAGAAAGACTACAGAGAAGAGCAACAAAGATGATCAGGGGACTGGAGGCTAAAACATATAAGGAACAGTTGCTGGAATTGAGTATGTCTATTTAGTCTAATGAAGAGAAGGACGAGGGGTGACATGATAGTAGTGTTCCAATATCTCAGGGGTTGCCACAAAGAAGAGGGAGTCAAGCTATTCTCCAAAGCACCTGAAGGCAGGACAAGAAGCAACAGATGGAAACTAACCAAAGAGAGAAGCAATCTAGAATTAAGGAGAAATTTCCTAACAGTTAGAACAATTAATCAGTGGAACAACCTGCCTCCAGAAGCAGTGAATGCTGGAAATTTTTAAGAAGAGACTGGACAGCCATTTGTCTGAAATGGTATAGAATTTCCTGCCTGAGCAGGGGGTTGGACTAGATGACTCCAAGGTATCTTCCAACTTTATTATTATTATTATTGTTGTTGTTGTTGTTGTTGTTGTTGTTGTCTATTGACTAGTGTGTGCTGTTGCAAGCCAGCCACGCTGTCTCTCCTCCAGACACTGGTACCTGCTCTTCATGGGCATCTAGTCTGACACCCCTGATCTAGGACTACCTGTAGTTACACAGTTTGGGAAACTTGGATAAATTTTACTGATTTTGTAGTTCAAATTAATACTGTCAGATACAGACAGTTTCTTGTCTCTGCCTGTCATCCTATTATGGCATATCCCATGTAATTGTTGTAAGATATTGTCATTTTGCACACTTTGTGGAATATTCATACAGTAGGCATTGCAATCACTTATGACAGGAGTCACCTTGCAACACTTATTGATTGGGATATTTGGTACTTGGTGGTGAATTTACTAAGAGTTTGACTAGTTCCCTCTTGTCCACCAATCTTTAGTCTTTTACAAGGCTGATACATCTCTGTGCAGAAAAAAAGGCCCATCTGAGAAGCAACTGAAGTTCAATCAGGAGTTCCACTCTATATTTATCCTCCAGCCCCCACCACTTCCAATGTATAGCTGAGATGTTTTTGGACAAATGTCTACCAGTCTCAGAGAAGATTGGTAAGCTGGTTGACTCTTCTTCCTGTTGTTTGGACTTTCAGAAGAAGAGAAGAGAACTGATTTTAGAAACACATAACCTGACATGTTACTGAGTGCAGAACATCTCCAACCAGATGATAGGTCATTCGGGCTTTGCACTTTGCATTACCTCAAAGCTCCCATCCTAAAGTTCCACTAGCCAGATGAGACTTCGTGCACTGGACGTTCAGAGAGGCTGCTTCTGGCATATCCAGGAGCTGAGTGGAAGCATCAGAAGAGGCTCTGTTGAAACTGCCAGAGGCAGCCTCAGCAGTGAAGGAGGCAACTACTTTGCTTTGCTTTCAGAAATATAAACTGGATGTTATTTTGTGAACAGTTTCAAAGTGTGCTACATGTGAAACTTCATGATAGCTTGTACTAATCATATGTACGATACATTACTAATTAGCTTAAACTAGCATTTAGCCCCAAAGTGTACTTGCCTGCTCACTTCTCCCATTTCTTTTAATTTCAATCTTATGTTCTCTTCCTTGGTCAGCATAGTTTCTTTCATTCTCCCTGAGTATTTCCAATATCCTCAATCCAAAACTTCATTTTACTGATACATCTGCCTGACCAGTTGACCTTCTTCTTCTAACAATGCCCATAATTGCCACAACTACCTACCATATCTACTGACCTACCTATCTAGGTTAAGGATGGAAAGCTGGAGAAGAAAGCCACAGTATCTGGTGGAGATGAAGTGAAAATATGCTACAACTTCATATACACTCACAGCTCAGGCTCTCCTTTTGTTTTCCAGATCCTCCTACACCACTGGTACTCTCCTCATTGCATTTTCTTCAGCAGGTGAGTGCTTCTGATGAAGATCCCACTTGACCTCACTAAACATGTGTTGATATCCATGCCAGTTGCCAAGGTCCCAAATTCTGATCATGTGACTGCAGAGGCTGTGTGATAGGCATAAGTGTAAGAACTGGTAATAAGTCATTTTTTTCCAGTGGTGTTGCAACTTTCAAAGGTTGCTAAATAAATGGTTGTAAGTCTAGGACAGGGGTGTCAAACTGCCGGCCCGCAGGCCAGACGCATAAACCAGCAATGGCAAAACTGGCCCGATACGTTGCGTGATGTCACATGACATCGCGAGTTTGACACCCCTGATCTAGGACTACCTGTAAGTTACACAGTGTGGGAAACTTGGATAAATTTTACTGATTTTGTAGTTCAAATTAATACTGTCAGATACAGACAGTATCTTAAAAGTTAAACAGAAAAGGAAATACTGTACTGCCAGGTTTTCTTTCATATAAAGGTGCTGTTTTTTTAATTTTTCTTTAATGCGACTACTAAAAACCCCCAAGATCCTTGTTCTCCCTATTCTATTAATTCATCCTTAACTTAAGGCAATTTAGTGGGTCCAACTAGTGATAGTGGACCATGGAGTTAAGGGTAGAACATAGAATGCCTTGGTAACTGGTTAATAATGGCCATGTTTAAACTAAATGTTGTTGGCTAAATGAGAGGTAATGGCTATCCGTTTACTGTTCAAAGCTTGATAAGTAGTTAGATATGAAGGATATACCATATCCTAGCTTATCATTGTGCTATTCTTTGAATCAACGTGACTGGGATTTATCTTAATGTTCATTTATACATTTATCTTGAAAGATTACAAGGTGTCCAACTAGATGGGTGCCTCTTGAGAAATAATTCTACTGTATGTGTTTTGTTGAGAGCTGGCACTAGCATTCCACAAAAGTCATGTGCATTGTCTAGCTCACTTCTGCTCATGCACATCTGGCCAATAATTTTTGCTAATATTTATCAAAAGACAAAGGCAGGACAAAGACTGTGGGCTCATGCTTTTTATTAGTAATTTCTCAGAACTGGTATAAAATATATGTTGCTACAGTTTTCTATGCTCCATACTATGTACACTGGGAATTGTTAGGTTGGGAGAGCCAATATATGAATGGCTTTTCTTGCACTAGCACAACTGATTTTCTAGTTCTGTGCTGTGAATGAATACGGAAAATGGGCAACAATACTTTGAAAAATAGATTATCTATATCTTGGTTTTTCTTCTTTCCAGCCACTGCAATAATGTTGTATCCAGCATTGACATTTATCTCTGTTGGTGGAATCCTTCTCATTCTCACAAATATGCAGGTTTGAATTTCTTCCCTTATGCAGCCTACTGGGGAGGCATTCTGGGAAAGAACTTTGGAGGGGAGGCATGGATAAGTCCAACCACAACAATTTTTACTTGGGTGGGGGGAGATCCCAGAGATATCTTTATTTCCTCTTTTGGGATATTCAAAACAAATTGGGAAAAGAGAACCATTATGTCATTTTCCTACATGTTCAGAATGTATCAGGCTAGTCTGGACATAAAATCCCATGAAAGGTGGGCACAGGCATAGAAGAAATCTATTTTATAAATTGCTTATTCTTTCATAGCATCTAATTTTTTATATTCTAGCCTAAGTAGAACTGAAGGGGATTGGCCCTTTTCATTTATTTCTCCAGATTGGGAATCTGTTTGGAAAACATCGGTCCATCATCATTACCCTCTACAATGGAGCCTTTGATTCTTCCTCAGCTGTATTTCTTATCATCAAGGTTGGTGAGAAAGGCTTTTCCAGTTTGTTTTGCCTCCCATATCAATTTATCTTTAATTTTAAAAAGGTTCTATCTTTGGGCTTTACTGCCTTGTTGCTGTTTTTGGTGGGTGCGGGATCACCATCTTAGGCACAAAATTTCCTCATTGTCCTTATCTGTAGCAGTAAACCATGACCTTAGACCCATCTAAATTATCAGCACTAAATGAATTAGCACTAGCTGATAATTGGATTAGACATTCAAAGAAACAGCCTACTTCAAAGCAAGCCAGGCTGCAACCTTAGGACTGAAGCTAAGACATAAGGAGAGCACGATCATGGTGTGGAGGACTATAAGAGTGGAGAATCTTGCCTCCAGCAGATTCATTTTCTCATTAAAGGACAAGATCAGGCTGATTTGAAAATACTGTACATTTCTGCACAGATTAGCCATGCATACCCAAGAGCGTTAGTTGTATGCAGACAGCTCCTTTGCTAGTGGGCATTAGAGAAAGGTCACTGTTTGCATTTGGCCATGAATCTGGGACATTTTCACCATTAATGCTGTTAACAGCCAATTGACATACCAAAGTCACCTCTCTGCATTCAGGTAGTCCATGTGAGGCAGAGCAGAGTTTGCAGCCAAAATGAGACAGTTGCCCATTTCATCCTTCTTGGTAGTGGTATTGGTTCTTCTCCAGTGAAAATCAGTCTTGCGGATCTCTGACTTTGAGCAAAAGATTATGAGAGAAAGAGGCTCTACATCCCTTTTCCTTTTGCCATTTGTTTGGGAATAGGGAAATATCTAGGTTTAGATGGATCAGCCACAGAAGCTCTGTAGGCTTTGGGCCATGACTGACTCTCAGATCAACCTCTTTGATGGGGTTGTTGCAGAGAGAAATAGGAAGAGGGAATGCTATGTATACCATCTTGCATTATAAAATTTGGATTGCTAACAAAGAATTAAGGGAGAATGGAATAGCTATTTCAAACTTTTTAGTTCTCGTCAACCAGACATATTTCTGAGATTCGAACCTGGGCTGTCTGCATGTTAAGGAGCTGTGTTAACCTCTAGACCACAGGCTCTTTCTCACTTTGTCAGCTGTGTCAGGGAGGGAAGAGACGGGGAGGAATTACCTTGAGTGCTTTTTGATGCACCCGTCTACCCAAATATGGGAGAAAGAAATCTTTTGCCTTGTATCAGCTCAAACTAGAGCCATCCACAGGCAGCAGTCGCAAGTGCGACATCATTTATATTATAAAATTTGGACACACACACACACACACACACATACACACACACATTTATTTTCCTTTTGGGCTGAGTAGGCAGACAGCAGGAAGAAAAGCGTAAGGTGGCTTTCCTTCTGTTTAATTTATTATGGGAGAGTCCTTTGCATTTCAGACACAGAGGATGGAAAAGAGGGAGGCAGTTGCCTGTCATACAAAATCTGGTCCTTGTTCTCCATGTAGATCTCAGGAGGGACAGGGAGAGGTTTGCTGTTGAAAGCAGAGTGAGCCTGATTTCAGCAGGAAGTTGCACTTGACGTGAGAGAGAGGATTCTTTGTCCTGTTGTTTCTTATAATTTATGACTCAACTTTCTAAAGCACTTTTGTGACTGAGTTTTGCTTGTAGAGGAGAATAGGAACTGGAGTTTCTGGGCAATTCCCAGCAGAATGAATAGCTAAGGCTGAGAGACCTGATGTAACTGTGCTGTGTGACATGTTGCATTGACTATATCCCCCATCATCCCCACCCTGCTGGCATTATTAATTGGCTGAGTTCACCCAGCATCTAGAGGAGGCTTAAATAAAGTTTAGGATTCAATGTATTGTAATCACCAGACACTATCTTAGCCTGCTGTGGAAAGCAGACCATTTGTTTGGATATAATATGTTGTGTGAACTTTAGTTTTATAAACCTAGGCCTATGATTTAGTGTAGGTATGCACTGCACTTTAGATCTTAAACCAAAATTGTATGCCAGTGGGGAAGTGGGGATACACTGCACCTACCTCCTTAAAGAAATTGCATTTTTTCTTGGGCCCAACAGCCATTTTCTTCCCCTTTGAATTAGAAGCATGTAAAAAAACTCAAACCACCCAGGAAAACACATGAAATCTCATCATTGCTTACATCAATGACCTAGCGTTGCCCTATTTGCATCCTGGTCCCTCTTGCTCTGGCAATGGACCTTTTAAACATGTTCAGTGGTGGTACCAAAAAATTGCCCAACCATTTCAGAAGCTGTCCTCATCTTCTGAGAAGGACCTGTTAATGATCAGGATAGAGCAAATGGAAAGGGGGAAGTAAAGCCTTTCCATCTTCCTTGCTACATTTCTGCAGGAACTCAGGGATTGGCACACACGGTAGGAGCGTTAAAATACAGCCAGCTTATCTTGGAATACGTTGTTTGTCCTCAGCTCCTGTATGAGCAAGGCCTCTCCCTGGGAGCCATGTTCTTCTTCATGTCTGCCTGCAGTGCCTGGCACTTATTTCGCACCTTTTTCCTGATGCCCCGATACCATATTCCTTATCCACTGCCCCCAGGCTATACATATGGGTAAGCAGCACTTCTGTCCGATTGGCAGCTGATTCCTCTGTGTGACTTTCCCAAAATCCTAGTCCCCTCTTATTTTCCTATCATTTTTCTCCAGTTGCTTCTTCCTTTTTCTAGCTATTACCGTGATGCCTGGAATCTTAGTGACCAGAGAACATATTTTAGGGATCTTTAGATTCTCTCAGTTAATCCTATAAAGACAATCCGTCTTTCTGAGTGCTATTTTAGGCATGTACTGTGAAAGCTTGTCCTTGGATTTGTCTAGGGATGTGTTTTGCATCTGATTGTCACTGTACCTTTAACAGCAGTTTGGTGTGCAAAAGTAATTTGAGCCTAGAAAAGCTGCACCAGTAGGTCTATTCTTAACATCCAGCTGCTATTTAAGTTAAAAGACACATCCATGCATTGTTCAGTTAACAATTTTAGATTCATAACTTTTCTTGTGCCTGCCTATTCACCCCAAGCGTTTTTGTTCCTGAGTTGTTGTGTCAAGTTTCTGGCTCAGGTGCTATAAAAATTTCAGAAACATCTGAACTTAACAGTAGAACAGGCAGTCTGCACTGGGATGACTCATGCCATTTAATTGAATTAAGGATGCCTGCAGATTAGATAAGTGTCATTAGCAAGCCAGCCCTCTATATGTTTATTTGCAAATATGGACACTTAATTTCATATTTCATGAAATACATCTCATAATTCTCTAAGCTGACTTTGGATTGATGAAGCCACTTCTTGTGAGTGAAAATCAGGAGGGAAACAAGGGGTGAAGAGGTGAACTCTCCAGTTACTTGCCTCTTCTGGGCTTCCAAGTGGGCCTTTCCTCTACTAATTTCAAATAATCTTTGCAAAGGCATCCTTGGTCTTCTCACCTTGTTTCTGTTCCTGATTGCTCCAGGAGCTTCGCTTCTTCAAAGAGGAGTTGCAGTTACATCCATCTGCATGCCAGATATAGCCTGGCGCTGCTGGTATAGTTCATGCATGATGCTGGGCCGCAATGAGTGAGTTAACTCATCATTCTGTGCCAAAACCAAATAAATCACATTATGCCATTGCATTATATCTGAACCGGGGCAGTCTGTTTAATGGATTTACTTCCAAATAAAGATAGATGTCAGTATCAGCAAGCAGACCAGTAATTCTTTTTCGCCTTTCAGAGATACTAATGCAAAGAAAGAGTAAAGGAAAGCAGTAATTGATCTAGAAAGAACAATTATTAAGTCAAATGTGACACGGAAAGTGATTTGTACCAGAAAACACAATTTTCAGTGTCCCCGAGGCTTTCTCCTGCCTTTTGCTTTGTATGTTTGATTATCCACTTAATGTGTATACATGTTGTAGAATATGTCTTGACGCTGACTAATTTCATTTCAATTTTGCATTTTCATACTATGGTTCAATGGCTTCAAGAATTAATAAAAGCTTACTCGTAAATCCTTTTCCTTTTTTCTGTGCATATATAACATTTGTTAAGTTTTGTACACAAGATGTATGTAGAAATAAGTTCACAAGGCAAGGGAAGAACAAATATTTCCTGTATCTGCAGAATGAACTGTCCTGGGATTTCCCATTCCTACCGCACATATGAGGAACAAGACTCCCCCAAGATCACAGTTGCAGATGAAGCCCAAGACTCAAATAATCTACATCATGAGTCAGCACTCAAAGGAGAAGAAGCTACCATCAAGGAGACAGTTGACAAAGGTAGAGGCTGAGGCAGAATAATAGAAAAACAGAGCTGGAAGGGATCTTGGAGGTCTTCTAATCCAACCACCTGTGGATCTCCTATTTAGCTAGGATTACATTATTTGGAATGGCTGGGCCATTCTTCTGTGTAATTTTTAGGTTCTTCAGAGGCAGCCTTCACTGGACTACACAATTTATCCAGGATTGAGAGATGCTCCTTTTTTTGTATCTAGTTTCCTTTATTCTCCTTCTTTTGCCTCATTCTTTCTCTTTAGAGTTCCACACACGAAGTCAGGTTTGAATTACCCATTTTCTTAGCTGTTAGGCATTGCGGAACATGATCAGCTCCCAAGTCACCATGTGCTTCTAGGCTATTGCAGTCAACTGTTTTTTATGGGTGAGCAGATAGGAAGAATGAGCTCAAATGTCATAATTTTTCACTTTTTATGGTTTCCCCAGGATGTGGGATCTACTACTTGAAGTTCCAGCAAGATATTAATCATATTTAATGTCATGTTACTACGAAATACTGTTTCCTTTTTCCTCCCAGTGACCCTGCTGCAAATTGCTAGTGAGGAACAGCAGCTTTGTACCCTGCCAGCCAATTGATCAGAGGCTGATAGAAAAGTGAGAGGGTGCTTTGCGACTTCATACATTGCAGCAACTGTTACCAAAGGCATAGTTAGTTCAACTTTTGATGTCCTCTGTACCCTAGAACTTATTTCACATACTTTTTAGGTGGGTCTGGTTTGAAGTCAATAGGAATAATTATCGCATCCCTACTTAACCAAACCTTTTCCCCCTGGCATTAATAAAACATAAATCCACATGTGTGTGACTTATAATTATTTAATCCTGGAAGTGCAGTCAGAGAAACAGTAGCAACTAGTCTTCTGTGTGAAGACATTCTGAGTTTGTGATATAATAAACAGACTGGACATAATTCCAGAGTACATCCACTTTTCTTTTTTTAGGTGATGCTGAGACTGGATCAGACGCCAAGCAACCACCTGTTAAATCCTTTTGGAAATGTGCTTTCTCCACGTTGTTTTTCTGGCACTTGATATGGCTGTCAGTGATGCAGCTGCGCCATTACCTCTTCATTGGCACCCTCAATCCCATGCTGACGAAACTCGCAAATAAGGACACCAGCCTCGGTACTGAGGGAACCCAAAGAATTTTGGGGAGGGAAAGTGGTCCTTGGGGAAGAGGAGAGAATAGGAAAAGATACATAATGGCTAATAAATTTAAGGTAAATGAGAAGCAAGCAATAAGAAAGACGACTACGAAAAATGAATAGGGATAGTTAAAGTAAGTATTGACTGGGGCAGCAAATGGAAAATATGGGGAAAAAAACCTGCCAAAGGACACTGCTTTACAATGGAACCGTGAGCCAGAGCCCCATCAGCTTACAGCAAGTTTTTTTTGTGGTCAAGTTGTGGGGGTTTTTTTGTTTTTACTTTTTAAAATAATTTGGGGAGCATAACAGAGTAATTTCAGTTCCTTTCTGTCCTTAATTTGCCACACAAAGCCTAGTTCAATCTTTGAGCAGATGGAAATTGCATATTCCTGCCTTATAAGAAGTATGCAGCTGCTGGGTCCTCATATCTCACTAAACCATGATATGCTTGGTTTTGCCTGAGTAAGTTCTGGAATCCAACCATTTTTCCTCCAAAGATAGTGCTTTCATATAATCATGGCTTAGCATAATGTGCGAACCTTTTAAGTCCCAGAAAGAAAGTTTTCTCCTAAAACACTGCTCTGTTTTATTTATGTTGCCCCCTTTTCTCCCTTCCTGGAACAAAAGGCAGGTGATTTCTCTCCCAAAATGTTCTTCTCTCCTGAGATGATGGGGTCAGGATGTAATCAAACATAGCCTGAGGCCTGCCCTGAAAGCTTTTTTCTGTCTTCGAACAGAGATAAACTGCTGAAATAAGATTTAAATTGTGTCATTTTAAAACTCAGATATAAATAATGGCAGAACTCCGCTGTTGATTGCTAGATAGGACTGGCCAGCAAGCTGAGAGAACTACCAGTCTCCTTTCGTATCATTCTTGTTAGAGGCTTTGTTCCATATCCAAAGGGAGAGTTTTTCTGAGAATTGGATGACCAAAGAGTCAAAACCTGAAAACGTTTTAACCTCATTTAAACACCTACAATGAGTTTCAGAAATAAAAAAAAATACCATTGCATTGGGGAAGTTGCCTTTAGAATGACACTGCAGTTATCTTTGATCTTCTGTGTCTTTTTTTTTTTTTTTAATCCACAGTGAGTAGCTACACCAATGCATTTGCCTTCACACAGCTCTGTGGAGTCCTCTGTGCCCCTTGGAATGGGCTTATTCTTGACTGGCACAAACACAGGCAAAAGAAGGGAGAAGGTCATTCAGGTATGCCCTTTGAATTGTGGGGATTTAGCTTCCAGATTAGATTGCCCTGCCAAAACTTTGGTGCTTGGAGTTCTCCTTGGCTGAATTCTCTCTCTTCATTGCAGGGGCACCAGATCCTATTGCTGATCTCCGTTCTTGTATCCTGTCCCTGCTCATTACAGTGTTACAGTGCCTGGCCTTCTCCATCTGTGCTTCCATTCCTGTGCTGCCTGTGCAGTATGCCACATTCATCTTACAAGTTCTGAGCCGTTCCTTCCTCTATGGAGGCAATGCTGCCTTCTTGGCTATCGCGTAAGAGAAATTGGGAAGGAAGACTTGAGAGGAATGGGGAGTGGAAGGGAAGACTATTGTTAAGCATGACACAGAGTTATCACAGGGGATTATGATTCTGATGAGGAAAAACATCGTCAGTCAGTTCTTGTCTATTGGAAGTTCCATATGTGCCTTTTCCAGTTTTCATGTTTTTACTGCTAATATAAACTGCTAATAAAGGTTAAGATTTCCTCCTGTGTGCATTGCAACTGGCGTGCCCAATTCTCCTCCCCTCTTCTTGCTTTAGAAAAAAGTTCTGCAGTTCATAACATAACCATAACACCCATTTTTTAGATTTTTAGAGTTCTGTTAAGATACCCTTCCAATCTTTATTGAACACTTTATTGGGCATTCTGTTTTTTCAAATGTCTAATAACATAGAAGAACTATGCTAATAACAAGTGGAGACGTGACAGCAGTACTTACACTAACTTATGTGAAAACAGGCATGAGGCTAGATTATTTCCTGTTATTTGTATTTTGCAGAAAATCACAAAGGAAGAAAGTACACTTCTTGGTTCAGTCATATCAAAGCCTGGGCCTTTCCCCAGAGATATCAATTAATTAAATCTGTTGATATATATTTTAATACAGGTAGTCCCTGACTTACAACCACAACTGAGACCAACATTTCTGTTGCTGAGACATTTGTTAAGCGGGTTTTACTCCCTTTTATGACTTTTCCCCCCACAGTTGTTAAGCGAATCAATGCACTTATTAAATTAGTAACACAGTTGATAAGTGAATCTGGCTTCCCCGATGATTTTGCTTGTCAGAAGGTGATCACATGACCCCCCCCCAGGACACTGTAACCATAAATTTAGTCATAAATATGAACTAATCGTTAAGCATCTGAATTTTGATCATATGACCACAGGGGTGCTGTAATGGTTGTGTGAAAAATGGTCATAAGTCACTTGTTTCAGTGATGTTGTAACTTCGAACGGTCACTAAATCAACTGTTGTAAGTTGAGGACTACCTGTACTGTATGTGAATACCCAAATGTCTTTCCTTTTTTTATCATTCTTTTGTGTGAGGGAGCCATGAAACACTGAAGTAGGTTCAAACAAATGCTCTATCTACCTCCTTCATCCTACTAGGGATGCAGAAAGGTCAACAAGGGAGGCTCAGAAAAAGGTGAAGAGCAGTGGCAAGTTGCAATAAAGGCAACAATGAGGAAAAGTCACTTAAAAATGCTGAGCTGATTTGTTCCATAACTTCCCTCCTGCTCACATTTTGTTTTACAGTTTTCCCCTTGAACACTTTGGGAAACTCTATGGTCTGGTGATGGGACTGTCAGCTGTGGTGTCCCTTCTACAGTATGCCTGTTTTGCACTCATCGAAGGCCCACTAAAGGGAGATTCCTTTTATGTAAGTATTCTGTATCCCTTTCCCTGTTGGGATATCAACCATACTCCTGGCTGCGGGGTGTTAGGATCCAGGATACATTACTTGAAAGACTTTTACTAGCTTGGGGAAGTGACCCAAATTCCATTGGAATTATTTTGGTTGAAGCTGGGTGTTTTCATTTTTTCTCCATATCTCCTTCCAGGTTAACATTGCCTTCATAGTGTTAATGCTTCTGGCTTTTGTCAATCCTTTCACGGTGTGGCGGGAATGTAAGCGACGAGAGAAGGAGCAGGCTGCAAGAAAGCCAGACCTGAAGTCTTCCATCTGAGTCCATCCCAGTTTAGACTTTGGGAACCTCACCTAACAAAAGGGGCCCTTACAAAGGCCTATGTGGGAACAAACGTTGTCTCTCTAAATCTCAAGCAGCAAAATAGGTTACAGTCCCACATGATCAGGTGCTCTTAAGTCCTTCAAATTAAAAGGGTTTAACTGTGTCTAAATTTGGGCTGGATTACTAATTCTATGTTTCAAAACCAGATTTAAATACAGTACCCAGTCTCTTTCTCTCTCTCCAGTATTTTATAGAAATTAAAGCCAGATTCATAACTTGGGGGGGTTGGATTTAGAATATATTTCACTGTTATGTATTTTGTCCTTTTTCAGAGATCTATTTTTGTGGATTGTATAAAATTTTAGTATAGAAGCCAATTTATTATTTTTTTCACTTAAAATGTTTAATGAACCAGAACCTGTATTTTTAATGCAACAATATTTTAACCTCCCTTTAAACTTTTGAATATATTGAGAAATCTTCTACTCTCTAGTTTTTAATTATTTAAATATTATAATACTTGTTTCTAATAAACTAAACTACACGCCAGCTTTGAAGAACAAACAAACCAAAAATTAAAGCCCAGGAGTAGCAGGAGAAATTAAGCCATTAAAAAAAATGAATAAAAATCTATCATAAAATCAAGTGTCAGTCAATGAAAGCTATAAGGGCAGGAAACAGGCTCTGGATGATTTTTTTTAAAATAATTGGACCGCAAACATCCAATGTTAAAACAATATCACAAATTAGAGGAAAGTCGGAGTCCATGAATGCTATATATTCTATGACAGAAAAGCAAAAGATTAAAATCTCATTGCTCAGGCTTAGGAACCCAGGACCTTCACTTTGTTTTTTTCCATCTCTAGACACAGAATTCTCAATGTGGCTTTATACATCACGGTCAAGGAACACAGTAGAGTCAGTTACTGGATTAAAAAGCTGCTCCACCCCACCCCCAATGAGTTAGCCTAGATCAGTTAGCCTAGACCAGGGGTCTTCAGGTCTTTTATGATTTGTGGACTTCAACTCTCAGAATTCCTCAGCGAGCATGCCACAAGTCATAAAAGGGCCATGTTTGAAGACCCCTGGCCTAGACTGTGAATCCTATCACATGCTGGAAAACTTCTGCAGAATGGGAGTTGTCCCATACCACAATTTACAGTCTATCAACTACTGTAAACTCAGTTATTCTATTTTGTGGCTTCTGCATTGGAAAGAATAAGCATGGAAAAGTGTATCCTTCACCCTTCAGGTAAAGATTGGAGACGCTGACTCTCTGCCATCCCCACCCCATGTCTCCACATCTTAGAACATTCCTGAAAGCAATTTACAAGTTAATTTTGGTGCAGTCAAGAAGCAAAAGCAAATGGGCGTTACTTTCCATTGGGATCCAATTGCTGATCCAATGGAGTGCAGTATATCAAGGCTCTGTTACAATACTTGTCTTCTACGTTTTCATTCCTTTGAGAGGGTTAAGCCAACTCTGTCTTCTGATAAACAGAGATAGAATCCAAAGTTCTATTAGTTTTTTTTTTTAAGTTGGAAACAAATACCTAGCAAAACTGTGGCCATTGTTTCTTTGATGCTTTGCTCCCATCCTTCATTTTGGAAGGAGGTGAAAGATAACCAAACACTTCATTCCAAGACGTAGAGGCTTAGAAATGTTTCCACAATTATTTATGGCCGAAGAAGAGAGATGAGCTAGTCCATACAAGAAGATGGATGCAATGGAGTGTGGTGAAAACATTGTGTTGGGGTATTCTTTCGCAGGAATGGCAGTGAGAAAAATTGTTTTGACTCTTTCTCCATGTCTTAACTCTCAGAGGTAGAAAATTAGTTAGGATCTTCCCTGAAACATATCTGACTCAGAAAAATCCCCTGCTGACCTACTGGATTGTTTCCAGATGGATTTGAACCTTATACAAGCAAACAAAGGAACAATGCAGCTAGTCCAGTTTTTCCACTCCTAGTAAACTGGAGGAAGGGAAAAACACAGAGCATTAGAAGAAGCTGTGTTCTTAATGCTGAGTAAACATTCTATAAATGAGGCAGAGTAGTTGCATCATGAAAACCTCATCTAGAGAAGATTCTTGTATGTTCTCCAGAAGCATCTCTTCATTTATCCCTTACATTATACCTCTAAATAACCAAGGCTGAAGTTCTTCACTTCAACAGAGTTTATCCATTGCATAATGGCAAGGTTTATTTAACCAAGAGTTATTGAAAAAGCTGCAACTGGTACTAAGTTGTATAATCACAACAGCTGAGTGTATGTAATATGCTAAGCCAAAACTGATAAAACTACATGTTGCCTTATTCTGATAGATCAAACTGGTCATACACTACATCAACCAGCTAGTTAGATCTTCTGAATGTTTAGATGAGGCTTACTCATAGATACAATGGATCTGTATCTTTCCAAATGTTTTATTGTGATGTGCAACTTCATTCTGAATAAACTTAAGATTGAGATGTTTGAGTGTTTTTCCTGCGAGCCCATTATGTGCACTTTCTTAAACGTTGGACATTAATTTGAATTGACTTCATTGTACAGCTACTTTCAATCTCTTTCAAAATAAAATGTATGCATTGTAATTCTTAACCTACTTTGAATCCAAACTGGCCATCTGTTTGTCTGGATAGATGGTACATCAGGAGCTGAAATTCAGAACAGTCTAGGTTTGGCATGGAGGGGAAGAGTTGAATAAAAGAAAGTGAAGGATTCTAGATCAGAGTGCATACTGTTTTTGATGTTAAACTTTTATATCTTCCCCTCATTTAGGTGACCTCTATGTGACCTCAAGCCCGTTCATTTCTTTTTTTAGTTAATCAAGTTTATAAGGCTTTCAAATGCTGGTTGCTTCAGGGGAAAAAAACCATTCCCTGTTGTGCATTCAAAATTTATTTAAACTGAAGTTCTCATTATGTTGTTTAACTATTATCTTCTGTGGAATTGATAATATATACAGTACTGTAAACTGTTATTACAAGGGCTACCTTTCAGACTAGAAACTAATGAAGTAACAGCTTCAGAAATACAGGCAGTTTAAAGTAAATGTTTCTGGATTAATTTGGGACTATTTTGAAATATGCTTTTCTCAGTTTGGACATTTTGGTTTTAATTTAAAGACAATTTGGGTAACAGTGGATGTGCTTGTTTATGTCTATGCTACTTAATATGGTATTAATTAGTTCTCTAAATTAATATATAATTTTAATATGAAAACTGAAAGCAGATTCATGTATTCTAATACAGCCTAGATGTGTATACCACCAATATGAAAAATATGTGGGGTTTTTTTTAGGAGTTAAAGGCAGAATTTGCAAAACCTCTGAATAATTATCCCAGAACTCCTATTTTAAAAATTAAACATGAAATCACAAGCTTATGTTTTTTCATGAGATGGAATGGGAGAATAAAATTGACAAAACTGTGCAAAATTCAGTGATCTTCTAAAAAAGATAGCTTTTTTCATTTTTAGTTTACCCATAACAATATGTGACAGTGCTTATCATCTGAAAATAGATTAGCCCCTGATTAGTATATTCTCCGTAATATGCCTCACATATAATGTCACTCATGCTTCATTTGTGTAATTTTAGTCTCTATATTAGGGCACCCTTGAGTGCTGTGTTGGCCTAGTGGTGAAGACACTCTCCTTTCACTCAGAAGGTTGAGAGTTCAATCCTAGGTAGCGACGGTTGTTTCTCTACTAGGGCTCAAAGAAAAAATATCTACTGCAAACTCTGTGTGATGTCAGGAAGGGCATATGACCAATAAATGCTCAGCTCCATCCATTTCAGGGTCATAAAAAGGGAGTTTTTATTAAGGCACGCCTAGACCACCAGGTTCAGATCAAATCCCAGTTAGCAGTTTAGATAATAGTCTGCTTTACCTTCAATTCAATTCAATCCTGAGCACAAATTCAGGTCTTGCTTTGTAGACCAATGGACTTTTCCACCCTGCTGCTTTAAGTTGTTTGACTCCCATAATAAACTGGAAATCAAGCCAGCTAAGAACTCCTTTTCCAGATTGTAATGACTACATGTGTTTAGACCATAGCAATAATTTAGTGGCCTCTCTAGACCATGCTTACTATGCCCCACAACTGGTAGATTCTTTAGCCTCCCCAGCTAAACTGAGAAAGCAAGCACATGTGGTTTCCATTGATAAGAGTTCATCTGCTCTGTTAAAAATCAATTTAACTTGATTTTTGCAAATAGTTCACCTTTTTGCCAGTCTACTTGAAAAATATATAAAAAAGAGGTTCAGCAGCCCAGGACAAGATGGTGAGACAAAATGGTTTGCAGGGCAGTAACTGATGACCTGGGTGGGGATGGAGAGGATTCCTGCCACAGTGCACAGGAGCCAGTTAGAGTGCAAATCTTTTATGCCATGAACCAGATAGCCCTTCTTGAACTACCCCAAATCAAAGAAATATTATATTTTATGCATAGCAGAAAAAGATGGCTAGAGGTTGTCTTCCTGATTGGTTGGGCACTCAGAGCCGCCTGAACCATGAGATGGGCAGCAAATAAACTTGATAAATAAATAAATAAGAAGATAACATTCCACGTTCCTGCCCCCAGGAGGATACTAGGATTAATATTCGATGCTGGGGCAAAACTGAACATGTGGATCAGCCCTATGTATAACCCATTGACTCATACTGGAATTAACAAATGTTGCTTTGAAGCAATAGAAAGAAAAATTGCAATAAAAGGCAAGTAAATAATACATGTGATGCAAACAGGAGTAGAAACAGGCAATAAACTCCTGCATTTTCTGGCCAGATTCCACAAAATCCAAACTAAAAAGCTTTAGTTTACCTTTCTCTGATTTTGAAAGAGGCTAGCGAAGAGCACAGAGTCTGGAATAATCTTGCGATACATTATTTTGACATTTCTCCCACAAAGTATCATGACTGCAAAATCCCAATAAACTATTTAATTTCATTAGAAGCTTTTCTGTCAGTTGTAAACATTACATCCTTCTTTCTCTCCTCCCTACCACTTCCTGGAATTTGGATTGTTTTGCAGATGAAGCATGAATATATCTTTCTGAATTTCAAATCACTAATAAAGCTTTGTGAGAATTATGTCTTTGTTGGAGGACTTCAGCTTCAGTTTAAACATCTGTATCTATCTGAATCATCCTCATATAGTACTGGAAATAATTGAATTCACTGTGTACTGCTACTGCTCTGTATTTCTGCTTCTCTGAAAATGAACATTTGGTGTCATGGATCAGTCTGCTGAAAGGACACTTCCAAATCCACAGTGGACATGGTCAATGGGAGAATCCATACCTGTTCTGTAAAGTGAGGGGTCTGAGGCCATAGCATTTGAGAGACATGAATAAAAGAAACCCTTAGGGAAAAAGCTAGGAAAGCTGGACCAGAAGCAGTGCTGAGGGTTGCAGGAGTCTATACTAGTATTCTGGAGAAGAATCATCTCTTCATGTTTGTAAGCAAAAGCCAAATTTAATGGTAGGTTTTTTTCCCCCAGGCATGTCTTGAAAAGCTCCATGTCTGAAAACATTGGAAACTTACTGCTAGTCAGTATGCAGTATGATTGAACAAGTTAGAAAGCAGCTTTCTGTATTCCTTTTGGATATCTGAGACTTAAATGCGGGACTCTGCTTTCCTCTGCTTTTATCTTTGTAAATCAAACAGGAAGTCTATATGGAATTAGGGAGTCTGTAACAACAGAGCCTGGGAACAAAGGCAAATGTCTGAATATTTACAAGAAATATTAACCATTTCCCCCTAGAGTCTGACAGTTTGCAACACAATGGAAAATTCAAAGTTGTTCTTCCTCATATAGCTTGTTTTCCTCCTCTGTAGGGCAATATGCCATCTGAAAATAACTGAAAATGACCATTTACCCCTAATATGTCTGTCTCTCTGTGTGTGTGTATTTGTTGTCTGATTACAAATGGCAGTTCATCCCAATTGCCTCATTGTTTCTGCTTAGGAGTGCAAGTTATATACTTTTGGTGATAGGCAAAATTTATTTTAGTTTTATTAGCTGCTTAGAACTTTCCTGGATTATTATTTCTTCAATTAATACATAGTGTATATTAATATTTTGTTCAGATTTTAGAGCATTCTCTCTTTTAGTGAATGGGTTGGTAACAGGTTTTGGTATTTCCCACTGCTTTCCAGAAGTCTGAAGAAGTAACGGACTTCTGGCTTTATAAGACATGACAGGTATTTGGTTAAGATGAGGAAAAAGTCAAAGTGGGAAGAAATAACAAGCACTTGATAAAAGGGTTTTTTAAAAAAGCCATTTCCTGAACCACAGTTTGTAAAAAGAAGACTCAAGGTGAAGGCTATATCGCAAGGCAATCTCCATGCAGTGATCAGCACAGATAATTTATTTGTATCTGCTTCAAAGTTCCTATTTATTAGAGCCCAATTGAGTAGGCCCCTGAATCAGTTGATTGCTTCTCCTCACAGCGGCCTCCCAAAGTTTGGTCACTTCGATACACAGAGCTGCTAGGAATGTCGGGACGCAGAACCGTCTCTGATACCTGGTAAGACAGACATTGAGACCTGTTAATGCTACTCCAATCTGAATATCTGTACCCTCTTTATTTTACCTGAACTATATACTTGCCTCATATATTCCTGACTATTGGACTTATCTGACCTTAATATTGTATCCTTCCTCCAAAATGCTCAGGATAGCACATGTGCTTTTCCCATGCCTTTTTTTTTTTTTTTTTTGTCCTTCCTAAGTATCTTTTGAGTTGGTTTGGGATCAGGGATAAGGTAAGATAAGAAGATAAGATAAGATAAGATAAGATAAGATAAGATAAGATAAGATAAGATAACCTTTATTGTCATTTTTTATTGTGGGCACAATGACACACATCAAAAATGAAATTTAGTTGTCCGCTCTCAAAGTGAACACATACATGACACACACCTAAACTTACTATATATAACATATACATACTATATACAACATTTGTGTAGACCTACACAGTGCTTTTTTGTAAAAAAAAAAAAAAAAAAGGTGCCAGAACTCACACACGTCATACAACCCGCCTTGCCTACCTTACAAGATTTACCTTTGTAGTTGAAAAAAAAAAACCTTCAATTTTTAGTGTATCTAAAAGACTAGGATTTTGTTCAAGGCAACTCTGGAAAATCTGTCAAAAAAAGGTGCCGGAACTCTGTTCCGGTTCGTTCTATGACAAAAAAAAGCCCTGGACCTACACCCCTACATATACATAACATATGAATATTAAACACTGTCCATCCTGAATATATAACGAAAGGAGGAAGCTTTAGTTGTCTCCATATGGCAAAATAGGGATTTTAACCTGGTTCTCCCAGTTCCTACTTTTTTTCAATTCTATCGTTTGCTGCAGGGAATTTTGAAAGACAGTTGGACAGATCAATGAGGTACCAAATTATGGAGGGCTACTCTAACCACTATGGAAAATTTTCCCTTTTTATTTTGTATTTTATATTTTTTGAAATTTAATAAGGTGGAAAGTTGATTTAAAAAGCGAAGGTCACACTAATCTCGTACTAAGAAAAGGGAGGCCCTTTGTGTAATTTTTGTGTAATTTTTACTTAAGCTCTTACGCAGA